TCCCATTCACTCCCATGGGCACTGGGGCACATTGGACAAGTTAAACACAAACGCAAGAAATGGAATTCTCCTTCTGTGTTCGTGTGTATGGAGGTAACTGGGGGGGTCTCTTCTGCTTCAGTTCTCATTTCTTCCATCTCTAGTGGTCTCTGTAGCTCCTTATTTTTATCTACTCCCCTTCCTAGTCAGGGGGAAGTAGGGGGTGGGCCTGCCTTGCTGGAGTGGGGGTGTGGGATGGAGCAGCTTTCAGGCACTGAGCGTGGAGTGGGTGCTGGGTTTGGGTTGCTCTAGAAGGGGAAAGGAGTGTCCTTTTGTTCTGAGATCTATCCATAGGAGAGGGTGTTGCGGGATCTACAATAAGGGTCGGCTATGGGAAACGGCCCCTGCTTGGGTACAGGCCCTTGGCTGAAGCTGTCCATTCAGCATTCCTTAGCCACTGTTTCTCCAAGGGCCATGGAAGGGGCTCTCCCCTGGACGCGGTATGTAGACAGACAAGGGAGAAGAAAGAGTACACCAGTTCTGAGACCCTGGGGGCAGCCTCAGGCGAGAAGCACACGCCAGGCCTGGGGGCAGCCCGAGCCACAAGGAGGCCTCTGAGTCCAGGCCGGAACCTCTGGAAGTGTGACTAGCTCTGGTTCTTCGTGTGTGTTCTCTTAGCCTATAGGAAACTTCCTTGTGAGAATGCCAACCTGTCCCAGCTGGGAGGCAGCTGTGGAAAGAGAACACTGAACTTGGAGACTGAAGGCCTGTAGAATTGTGGCCCTCCCACTTCCTTGAGCAAATCACTCCACCTGCTGAGCCTTGCCTTCATCTGCGAGGGGATGAAGCCTTTACATAACAGCCTTCACCGTGTTGCAGAGGGGCGGGTTTAGAAATTTGGTGTGGAAATACCTCATACAGGGAAGGGGCGCAGCTGCATCATCTGTCATCTTAGTTGAATTGAGTTTTTTTGGTTTGGTTTGGTTTTTTTTTCTTTTTTTCTTTCTTTTTTTTTTGAGACGGAGTCTCACTCTGTCACCCAGGCTGGAGTGCAGTGGCGTGATCTCGGGTCACTGCAACCTCCGTCTCCCAGGTTGAAGTGACTCTCCTGCCTCAGCCTCCCAAGTAGCTGAGATTATAGGTGCCCACCACGCCCAGCTAATTTTTGTGTTTTCAGTAGAGACGGGATTTCACCATGTTTGCCAGGCTGGTCTCGAACTCCTGATTTCAGGTGATCTGCCCCCCTCATCCTCCCAAAGTGTTGGGATTACAGGCGTAAGCCTCTGCGCCCAGCCTGAGTTGTTCTTAGAGGAACAGAGGAGCAGAGGCTGAGTGTTGTCCATTCTTGGCCTAGAATTCAAACAAGGAAACAGAGAGGCCCATGGCCTGGGGGATAGGCATGGCTGGACTCATAGGGATACCACTGAGGGGGAAGGTGCAACTTGGACAGGGGCTGCCACAGGGTCCGCCACTCTGCATGGGGACTCCTGTAAAAGAGACTGTGTGGCCCACCTCCACCTGCTCACTGAGGAGGCCGCAGCTCACAATCAGACATGGAGGGCCTTGGCTGGGTGATAGAGGGGCTGGTCACCCAGGGCCTCCGCTCCAAATCTGTGTTCCTGTGACCTGCCACCCTAGAATCTGGTCGCATCCTGGCCCAGTGTGCTGGGTGTGTCTCTGCTCCCAGTACCACGTCCCAGCCTTAGCTGCCAGTGTGCTATCACCCTTGGGCACGGAGGGAGGGGAGCAAGTTTGTCAAAGTTCAACACACTTGGAAATGTTGAGCAGGTAAATCTCCCTTTGGGATGATAAACTGTAAGAAAAGGCTACAGGCCAGGTGCTATGGCTCACGCCTGTAATCCCAGCACTTTGGGATGCCGAGACGGGTGGATCACTTGAGATTAGGAGTTCGAGACCAGCCTGGCCAACATGGTGAAACCCTGTCTCCACTAAAAACACAAAAATTAACCAGACGTGGTGGCCTGTGCCCGTAATCCCAGTTATTTGGAAGGCTGAGGCAGAATTGCTTGAACCCAGGAGGTGGAGGTTGCAGTGAGTCGAGATCACACCATTGCACTCCGCCTGGGAGACAGAGGGAGACTCCGACTCAAAAAAAAAAAAAAAAAAAAGAGAAAGGAAAAAAAAGGCTTCAAATACACTATCTGATTTTAAGGAGGCTCTGAGAAACATTCCCAGCCAAGATAACCAGATAACAGCTGCAGCCCAAATGGAGTGTGATCATTGGGTCACAAGGCAGATGACAGATCCATATTTCTGTCCTAGCTCCATCTCCAAAACCATAGTTACCATCACAGCCAGTGCCTGACTACCTTCATCCATGCTAAAGCCTCTACTAGAACCTCAGTGTCTTCGAGCACCACCCATCACAGCCACCCTCCAAATTACCAAAATCATCGGAATTAAATTGATCCCTGAAACAGTACACTAGATTACATGCAAGATATTCTGTTGAGAAGGGTCCCTGGCCTAAAGTAGCTCTCACTGCAGTGGAGAGAGGAGGAGGTCAAACAATGGCCTGGTCATGTATGAAGGCAGCATAAGGAGCCATCATAAATGGCACACTGGTGGCTCACACAGAGGAGTGCTAAGCACCATGGGACAGGGATTTGGGGACCACCAGGTCCTTCTATCAGTGAGTCACATCACTCAATGGCAACTCCAGGCTCCAAGCAATCGCTGACACTGTTAGAGAAACCCAAAGAAAGGGAGAACCGGCGCCTGCCCTTGAACTGCTCATGCTATATGATCAAGATGGGGCAAATGCACTGATAATAGAGCCAGTCTCAGCCCAGAACAAAGCAAGGACCATTGTGGGAGACGGTTGGTGTGTTTGGAGGTAGCAGAGGTTGGTGGAGTGAAGCTTTCAGAGGCCTGCAGTCTCTTCAGCAGTATTTTGAGGAGGGAGGAACGTGATTTGTTGGAAACAGAAGGCAGGGGTTTGCGGAAATTGCAGCAGTATTACTATTTGCACAAGCATAGTACAAATAGCACTTCCATAGCACAATCCATAGCACTTTCACACCACACCAGCTCAGCTTATCCCCCAACAGCCCTGTGGGGTAAGCATTGTTATCATCACATCAACTTGAGATAAGGTAGGTAGAAATTCTAGAGATGGAGATGCAGGGGTGAGGCGCTCTGAGCAGAGGGAACTGCATACGCTTGTCAACAACCTCTCCACCCGGGTAGGGGCTCCCGACCTCTGATATCTCTGTCCCTTGACTTTTTAAAAATTTAGTAAAATAGATGCAACACAAATTTTACCATTTTGACCATTTTTAAATGAACAGTTCAGTGGGATTAAGTACATTCACACTGTTGTGCAATCATCACGACCATCCACCTCCAGAAAACTTTTTCATCTTTCCAAACGGAAACTCTGAACCCATCGAACACTGTCCTTTGCCTGTCTAAGCCTCAAGTGGAAATGGGTCTCCCTCGTGACTGGCATTATGCCTGTGGATTCCCTAACACACCTTTGCAAACAGTCTTTTTTTTTTTTTCTTTTTGAGGTGTAGTCTCGCTCTGTCACCCAGGCTGGAACGCAGTGGCGCGATCTCGGCTCACTGCAACCTCTGCCTCCCGGGTTCAAGCGATTCTCCTGCCTCGGCCTCCTGCGTAGCTGGGACTACAGGCACACGCCACCACACCTGGCTAATTTTTGTATTTTTAGTAGAGACGGGGTTTCACCATGTTGGCCAGGCTGGTCTCGATCTCCTGACCTCATGATCTACCCACCTCCGCCTCCCAAAGTGCTGAGATTACAGGCGTGAGCCACTGTGCCAGGCCTGCAAACAGTCTCTTAATTAAACTATCCTCAGTGTACCCAACTGGACTGTGACATCTTTCTCTTGTTGGGCACTGGTATAGTAGTTCTATGAGGCTATTTGCTAAAATGATCTTATCTCCATTGTACAAATGAGAAGCTGAGGCAAGAGGAGGCTAAATAATTGCCTAAGGTCACAAAACCAGTAAGAGGTAGAACTGGGATTTAAACTCCAGCAGTCTGGTTCCAAGATAGTTGAAACCTAAGAGAAGGCTACATAGTTGAATATGGTGGTGCCGCTGTAGTCCCAGAGACTCAGGAGGCTGTGGCAGGACAATTGGTTGAGCCCAGGAATTTGAGGTTACAGTGAGCTATGATCATGCCACTGCACTGCAGCCTGGGTGACACAGTGAGATACTGTTGAAAGAAAGTAAGAAAGAAAGAGAGAGAGAGACAGAGACAGAGAGGGAGAAAGAAGGAAAGAAGGAAAGAAGAAAGAAAGAAAGAAAGAAAGAAAGAAAGAAAGAAAGAAAGAAAGAAAGAAAGAAAGAAAGAAAGAAAGAAAGAAAGAGAGAGAGAAAGAGAGAGAGAGAGAAAGAAAGAAAGAAGGAAAGAAAGAAAAGAAAGAAAAGAGAGAGAGAAAGAGAGAGAGAGAAAGAGAGAGAGAGAGAAAGAAAGAAAGAAAGAAAGGAAGAAAGAAAGAAAGAAAAAAAGAAAGAAAGAAAGGCAGAGAGAGAGAGAAAGAGAAGGAGAGAAAGAAAGAAAAGAAAGGAGAAAGAAAGAGGCCAGGCATGGTGGCTCACGCCTGTAATCCCAGCACTTTGGGAGGCTGAGGTGGGCGGATCACCTGAATTCAGGAGTTCAAAACCAGCCTGGCCAACATGGTGAAACTCCATCTCTATTAAAACTACAAAAATTAGCTGGTCATGGTGGCGGGCGCCAGTAATCTCAGCTACTCAGTACTCGGAAGGCTGAGGCAGGAGAAAGAACCGAGAAAGAGAGAGAGGGGAGAGAGAGAGAGGGCAGGGGCGCGAGAGGAGAGAGAGAGAGAGAAGGCTACAGAACTGACCACTGAGGAACACGGGGATTCAGTGCAAGCTGAAGAGACCTCAGGAAGGCTGCTGTGCATCTGGGCGGAGGAGAGCAGGAGTAGGAGCCCAGCCTCAGGCGCGCTGAGGCGGAAGAGAATGTCCTGATGGGAGACACTGCCACTGCTAGTGGCTGCCTGCCCCTTGTCCCTCCTGAGCTGAGCCATGCAGTTAGCTGACCCTGCCAGGAAGAGGCTGAGAAGAGCCTCACCAGGGATGAGCTGTGAGGGCCAGAGGTGAGGATGATGCTGACATAGGAGTGAAGGTGTCCCACCCTGTTCCAGGCCACAGCCCTGCCACCCTGGTGAGTGGCTTGGCCCAGGTGTGACTGGTGTGACCAAATGGATTTACTCCACTGGGGAAGGGCTCCTGGGTTTGCCTCCCTCCATGACGCTGCCTGGCAGCACCGCCATAAAAGCCTGGCCAGGCGCTTGGGAGAGCCGGGACCGAGAAGCAAAAGTGAGAAGAGGAGACACAGGACCAAGGAGATGCTCTCCCTGCTCAGTGGGCTGGCTTTACTTGCCATTTCCTTCCTGCTCCTGAAACTTGGCACCTTCTGCTGGGACAGGAACCACCTTCCTCCTGGCCCATTCCCCTTCCCCATCCTTGGAAACCTGTGGCAGCTACGATTTCAGCTGCACCCAGAGACACTGCTCCAGGTAGGAAGCCTGTGTGAAAGCTGGAGGCCCTAAAGCGGTGGACAGATGAACCCCTCCTCTCTCTCAGCCCAGCAGCACTGGAGACAGAAAGAAGGAACGGGTCAGACACGTGTGGGGTGAATCCTAGTCTTGCCATTCATTAGCTGGGAGGCTTTGAGCCTCAATTTCCTCACCTGTCAAATGCAGGGTGGTAGGGGGATTGCAAAAATTGTGGACTTTGTGCAGAATCTAAGAAGTCTAATCTAAGAAATTCTGAGTGCAGTAGAAGTCCACTGCCAATGGAACAGGATGGCAAAAACCACTGAACAGAATTCGACTCCAGGAGAGCACTGTGTGTGGCTGGAAGAAGTTTTCTGAAAAGCCACTTGAGATGGGAGTTGGGGAAATGGGACCCCACAAGGGCACATTCAAGTGATGTTACTCAAGGAAGCGCTGCACAAAGTCACTCCCAGGGTAGTTGGAGCCTCAGCTGAAGGGTGCTGTTGGATTGAGTGGGTGGAGCTGGGTTGCTGCTGAGAACAATGGCGGGCAGGACACTGTGTTTCCTGAGGCCATGCTCAGCCCTCTTCTTTATCACACTCAACAAAATTTTTAAAAATATCTGGTTGGCGCTGTCAGACAATTATGATCCTCAGGCTTCCCACGCAGTGGAAAGAGCACTGTACTGGGAGTCAGGAGACCTGGGTTCAAGGTCCTCATCTTTTACTGTTTTTTTTGGCCTCTGTTTTTTGGGGTTTTGTTTGTTGGTTGGTTGGTTGGTTTTGAAATGGAGTCTCGCTCTGTTGCCCAGGCTGGAGTACAATGGCACAATCTCAGCTCACTGCAACCTCCGCCTCCCAGGTTCAACCGATTCTCCTGCCTCAGCCTCCCGAGTAGCTGGGATTACAGACCTGCACCACCACGCCCTGCTAATTTTTGTATTTTTAGTAGAGACGGGGTTTCACCATGTGGGCCAGGCTGGTCTCAAACTCCTGACCTCAGGTGATCCACCCGCCTTGGCCTCCCAAGTGCTGGGATTACAGGTGTGAGCCACTGCGCCCAGTCTGGCCTCTGTTTTTTAACTCATAAAATGGAGATAAAGAGCCTACCTGCACACTTATACCGAGGGTGGACTCAAATAAAATATGTAAAGCCCACGTGGGGCACCAAGTCCTGGAGAAACTGGTTATTTACTATCATCTGCAACATGGGTAGAACATTCCCACCTCCCAGGATTAATGGGGTGAAAGTGCTGGGCCCTGACTATTCCAAGTGCACGGGGTGGGCCTGTGACCCAGGGCTTGGCTTGGCTCGCCTGGGGAACAGGGCTGGAGTCACTCTGAGAAGGTGTTCCTGCGGTAAGTGTCACCCCGTCTCTCCACAGCTGGCACAGACCCACGGCAGTGTGTTTGTTCACAGTGTGGGTGAGCCCGATCCCCATCGTGGTGCTGAGTGGCTTCCGGGCGGTGAAAGAAGCGCTGGTCTCCAACTCGGAGCGGTTCTCCGGCAGGCCCCTCACCTCGCTCTTCCAGGACCTGTTTGGAGAACAAGGCAGGGCTGCCCCTACTGCTGGGGAGGGGGAGGCGGCTAGATGGTCACTACACTCAGGGAGGCGGGGCTAGCCCAGAGCTGTTAACAGAGAGGGGACTGCCAGGAGGACTTGTGTGAGGGGAGGGGGTGGTATGACAAGGAACCAGATCTGGGGGTTCAAAGATCTGGATTCAAGTCTCAACCCAAGCCCTGGCCAGCTCCGTGACGCCGGGCAAGTCGGCCTCACTCTCTGCCCCTCAGTAGGCTCCTGTGTAGATGGGGATGACGATGGCTCTACATCCTGAGAATGTGGGGAGGGGATTAAGTGGCCAAAATACCTGATAGTGCCCGTTCAGTGCCTGGTTCAGCAAACACCCTTGTTCCCGCCTTGCCTCTCCCTAGAACCCCTCCTCCCCTGCGTTCTTTTTTTTTTTTTTTTATTTGACCCAGAGTCTCATTCTGTCACCCAGGCTGGAGCACAGTGGAACAATCTTGGCTCACTGCAACCTCCCCCTCCTGGCTTCAAGCAATTTTTGTGCCTCAGCCTCTCGAGTAGCTGGGGTTACAGGCACATACCACCACGCCCTGCTAAGTTTTTAATTTTATTATTATTATTTTTTTTTTTGCAGTAGAGACCAGGTTTCAGCATGTTGGCCAGGCTGTTCTTGAACTCCTGACCTCAGGTGATCCACCCGCCTTGGCCTCCCAAAGCGCTGGGATTACACGTGTCAGCCACCACGCCCAGCACCCTGCATTCTTTATCTCCTCTTCCATTTCTTGTGGGGACTCTTAAAGGAAAAATCGGGTTGGTGGACTGGGGGAGGGCATAACTGAGACCATCTTGAGGGCACCAAGCTCACTGACCACTCCCTCAAATGCCCCTCAGCCCCGGGGCAGAGCATCATCCCAGAGGTGATTCTGGGGTCTGCCCTCCAGGTCCGGCCCCTGTGAGAGCCGAGTGGTCTTGGTCTGGGAGGCTGGGATGGCTAGTGACTGTCCACTCCACTCAGCCCCGGACCCAGGCATCATCTGCAGCAGAAGGCACATGTGGTGGCAACAGAGACGCTTCTGCCTGGTGACGCTTTAAGGGCTGGGCCTAGGCAAGCTGGCGCTGGAGGTGCAGCTGCAGAAAGAGGCAGCAGAGCTGGTGGAAGCCTTCAGCCAGGAGCTCGGTAAGTAGCAGGCTGGCGGCAGGCCTACCCTCACCCCCTCTCCCCACACACACACACGCCTATGCAGTGAGGCTTGCCTCCTCTGCAGAGGCGTGTGTGTGTCCAGGAAGCCTCAGAACGTTAATAGCAATGTTAAGCTCCATCGAGTGGGAGTTTCTCCAAGGTGGGTGGACAGAGGCCCAGGAATGGCCAAGGTCACTGGGAAGCCAGAACCCTCCTTGACAGCTGGGGAAGTATCCTCCACCAACATCCAAGGCGGCCAGGCGCGGTGGCTCCCCCGTGTAATCCCAGCACTTTGGGAGGCAGAGGCAGGCGGATCACCTGAGGTCAGGGGTTTGAGAGCAGCCTGGCCAACATGGTGAAACGCTTCTCTACTAAAAATACAATTAGCCAGGTATGTTAGGCTAATCCTGTAATCCCAGCTACTCTGGAGACTGAGGCAGACGAATCGCTTGAACCCGGGAGAAGGAGGCTGCAGTGAGCTGAGGTCATGCCATTGCACTCCAGCCTGGGCCACAGAGCAACACTCCATCTCAAAAAATAAATAATAAATAAAATAGCAAAAAACTAACAAACAAATCATCCAAGGCGTCTCACACCTCTAGCCATTGGCACATGCTGTTCCCCTTCCAGAACATCCCAGCCCATGTCCCTTCCCTCCCCATGAGAAACCACTGCTGCTTCCTCCAGACCAGCTGTGGTCACCTGCCCTGAGAAATCCTCCTGAATGCCAGGCCCCCAAACCTTTTTATTCCCGGCTGTGACACAGCTGCCCCACATTCTGTTGTCATTCAAATGGCTGTCTGTCTCCCATGCCTCTCTCTGACCTGGCTCATAGAAAGTGCTTGGTAAGCACTTGGGTTTTTTTGTTTTTGTTTGTTTGTTTTGTTTTGTTTTTGAGATGGAATTTCGTTCTTGTTGCCCAGGCTGAGTGTAGTGGCACGATCTCAGCTCACTGCAACCTCCATCCCCCGGGTTCAAGTGATTCTCCTGCCTCAGCCTCCCAAGCAGCTGGGATTACAAGTGCACACCACCAGGCCCAGCTAATTTTTGTATTTTCAGTAGAGACGGGGTTTCACCATGTGGGCCAGGCTAGTCTCGAACTCCTGACCTCAGGTGATCCACCCACCTCAGCCTCCCAAAGTGCTAGGATTACAGGCGTGAGCCACCATGCCCAGCCGGTAAGCATTTGCTGAGCGCGTGAGTGAGGAATGGGAATGGAGGACCCAGTTAGTAAATGAGCGACTATATACGAGATCAGATGGGTGCTCAGGGCAGTGCTTTCTTGTGCCTCCTTGTCCTGAGCCCTGCCCCTCTGCCCTCAGGTAGATCCTTCGACCCTCAGGTTTCCATTGTCAGGTCCACAGTCAGAGTCATCGGGGCCCTTGTGTTTGGCCACCACTTCCTCTCAGAGGATCCCATCTTCCAGGAACTGACTCAAGCCATCGACTTTGGCCTGGCCTTGGTCAGAACTGTGTGGCACTGGGTAATTGGCATCTAGGGAGGCAGGTGTGCAGGCCATTAGACTGGGGGCCGAAGGCAGACAGGGGCCTTAGCCAGGCCCTGGCAGGGAGGGTGCAAGGTGGGCAGGAGGGAGACCGTGGCTTCTGCCTGGTAGCTGACACATTCAGAGCTTCAAATCTTTGTTGTGGTTCAGCATGAATGCATGGGCAAGGAATCAGAGGCTGGTTATATCCCCAGAAATACAGCTTTCTGGACCTGCAACATCCAAGTGAAGCCCTAAGCGCAACTGCTCTGACCACAGCTCTCATTTCTGTCCAGATTATTTTGGGGGTCTCCAGATGAGAGGCAGCCCTGGGTTACTCAAGTCAAAGGCCCCAGCCCACTTTGGAGCCCCCCCGACTCAGGGGCTGGCTCCTGAGGAGGCCCTGGGTGGGCCTCTCTCTCCACAGCTGCACGACGTGTTTCCCCGGGCCCTCTGCCACCTCCCAGGACCCCACCGGGAGATATTTAGGTACCAAGGGGTCATGCGGAGCTTCACCCGCCGGGAGATCACCAGGCGCAAACTCAAAGCACCGGAGGCCCCCAAGGACTTCATCAACTGCTCCCTGGCCCAGATCTCCAAGGTGAGCCTGGAACAGCTGCTTGGGAAAGGAGGGGCCATCTTTTTCGGCTGCACCTCGTTTCTAAGCCATGGTCTCAGTTTCTCATCTTTGGCTCTGTCTACAAGCTTCCAAAGCACCCTGAAAGCTTGAGTTAAAACAGGGTTTTCCTCCCTGCCTTTTCCCAGGGCAGGGCTGGCTTCTGTAGGCATGGGTAAGGTGGGAAGCAGAAGACCTGGCTGATGTCAGGGCCAGAACGCCAGGGCAGCCCCCCATCAACATCAGTGCAGTCCTGAGAGTCAGGCCCTCTCGAGGGGTTGGAACCTCAAGTTCTGGCCGCACAGGTCTCAGATCAGGCTTCAAGGAAACCCCAGGGCTCTGTCAGGAGAGAACTTTAGACCTGGAGCTGCACCCCCCACTCACCCATCCCCCACTCGCCAGGCCATGGATGAGCCTGTCTCCACATTCCACGAGGAGAACCTGGTCCAGGTGGTGATCGACCTGTTTCTGGGAGGCACCAACACCACGGCCACCACCCAGCGCTGGGCACTCATCTACATGATCCAGCACGGAGCTGTCCAGGGTGAGGAGCCCTTGGTCACACCCTGGCTGACTGCCCCATGCGTGGGGCTCCTGGGCCATGGGCATTGCCCCCATCACTCTCCTTGCTCTGTGGCCCCGGGGTGGTCCTGCTCTCGCCGCTGTGGTACAGGAAGTGTTCATGACTTTGAGTCAGACAGGAGGGGCTTGAGTTCCCACCCTGTTGCTTACTGTGTAATGCTGGGCAAGTCATTCCACCTCTCTGACCCAGTGTACAATGGACAACACTATTCTACTCATTCAGCAATGATTCAGCACCTACTAAGTGCCAGGCCCTGTGCTGATGTCCACCTCAAGATCACAACTGTGAAGGGGAAAATGTAACTGGATTTCTCTCAAGGACAAACTGACCATGACCTGAATTCAAATCTGGTGCCACAAGTTTCGTGACCTTGGGCAAAAGTACCTGTCCTGTTACAGCCTCAGTTTCTCCATCTGTAAAATGGAGACAACAGTCCCCCCTCCATAACAATGCTTTTTTTTTTTTAGACGGCATCTTGCTCTGTTGCCCAGGCTGGAGGGCAGTAGCATGATCTCGGCTCACTGCAACCTCTATCTCCCGGGTTCAAGTGACTCTCCTGCCTCAGCCTCCCGAGTAGCTGGGATGACAGGTGCGTGCCACCACAAGCAACTAATTTTTTTGTATTTTTAGTAGAGATGGGGTTTCATCATGTTGGCCAGGCTTGTCTAGAACTCCTGACCTCAAGTGATCTGCCTGCCTCGGCCTCCCAAAGTGCTGGGATTACAGGTGTGAGCCACCACGTCCAGCCAATATTTATTTATTTTTGAGACAGAGTCTTGCTCTGTCGCCCAGGCTGGAGTGCAGTGGCATGATCATGGCTCACTACAGCCTCCACCTCCCGGCTCAATCAATCTTCCCACCTCACCCTCCCGAGTAGCTAGGACTACAGGCATGAGCCCCCATGCCTGGCTAATTTTCATGGTTTTTGTTGTTGTTTTGTTTTTTGTAGAGATGCAGTTTCACCATGTTGCCCAGGTTGGTCTCCAGCACAGTTGAAGATGACAGCTCTCTGGTGATCCAGCTTGAAACAGGTTTCCGTGCAGATTTTTGACACGAGCTGGACAATAACGTGATGACACCTGCTCTTTGCCCAGGCTTGCTGCATGCTGAGAGCTTTGTGCCCGCGGCATCATTTGATACAATGGTGCTCTGTATTGTTGACGGAGCCATGCAGATCCTAGATGACAGATGTTGAGTTACTTACCTATCTTACGGTGTAACAAATTACCCCAAAACTTAGTGACTTTAGAACAACAGCATTTATCACGTCACAGTTTCTGAGGGTCGGGAAAATGGGTGCGGCTCAGATGGATGCCTCTGACTCAAGATCTCTCATGAGGTTACCATCAAGTTGTTGCTGGGGCTACAGTGTCACCTGAAGACTCCCCTAAGGGAGGCTCCACTTCAAGCTCACTTACACGGAGGTCTTCAGGACCCAGTTGCTCATGAACTGTTGGCTGGAGACCTTCAGTTCCTTGACACATGAGCCTCTGCATTGGACAGCTCAAAACATGGCAGCTGACCCCCATCAGAGACAGCAACCAAGAGGGCACCCAAAATGGAAGCAACGGTCTTTTTGTAACCTAATCTTAGATGTGATATCCCATTGCTTTTGCCATAACCTTTTTTTTTTTTTTGAGACAGAATCTCGCTCTGTCACCCCAGGCTGGAGTGCAGTGGTACAATCTCAGCTCATTGCAACCAACACTTCCCGGGCTTAAACAATTCTCCTGCCTCAACCTCCCGAGTAGCTGGGATCACAGGTGTGTGCCACCATGCCTGGCTAATTTTTTTACATTTTAGTAGAGATAGGTTTTTGCCATGTTGGCCAGGCTGGTCTTGAACTCCTGACCTCAAGTGATAGACCTGCCTCAGCCTCCCAAAGTGCTGGGATTACGGGTGTGAGCCACCGCGCCCGGCCGCTTTTGCCATAATCTATTGATTGGGTTTGTTGCTGTTGTTGTTGTTTGAGACACTGTCTCCCTCTGTTGCCTGGGTTGGAGTGAAGTGACACAATAATGGCTCACTGCAGCCTCGACCTCCCAGGCTTGGGTGATCCTTCCACCTCAGCCTCCTGAGTAGCTGGAACTACAGACACATGCCACCACAATGGGCTAATTTTTAAATTCTTGGTAGAGATGAGGTTTCACCATGTTTCCTAGGTTCTTCTCAAATTCCTGGGCTCAAGTGATCCTCCCACCTTGACCTTCCAGAGTGCTAGGATTCCAGGCGTGAGCCACTGCATCTGGCCCATTTTCTATTTGTTAGAAGTGAGTTACCAAATCCATCCTATCCTCAAGGGGAGGGGATTACACAAATGTGTGTATCCTGGGAGTCAAGGCTCATTGGGGTAACATAGCAACATGTGTAGGTGGTGAGGTTGCCATTTTAATGAAAACCAAACAGAGTGGCCCGTCTTGGTGCCCTGGTGCAGGGTGATGCCTCTGTACATAGAGGTGGTGGCGGGAGCCCTGAGACGTTCCTCGGAAAGCTTTGACTCTGCCCTGAGTACTGCCCGGGAGTACAGTGGTGTGATCTCAGCTCACTGCAGCCTCCACCTCCAGGGCTCAAGCAATTCTCCCACCCCTATATCCTTTCCCAAGTAGGCTTGGTATTTTACAGGCAGTGCACCCGACCCCAGGTATTTTTTGTCATCATTTTTTATTTTATTTTTAGTAAAGACGGGGTTTCGCCAGGTTGCCAGGCTTGCTGTCTTTTTTTTTTTTTTTTTTTTTGAGACAGGGTCTGGCTCTCGTCGCCCGGGTGGAGTGCAGTGAGCGCGATCTCAGCTCACTGCAAGCTCCGCTCCCCGGGTTTACTCCATTCTCCTGCCTCAGCCCCCCGAGTAGCTGGGACTACAGGCGCCCGCCGCCTCGCCCGGCTAGTTTTTTGTATTTTTTAGTAGGGATGGGGTTTCACCGTGTTCGCCAGGATGGTCTCGATTTCCTGACCTCGTGATCCGCCCGTCTCGGCCTCCCAAAGTGCTGGGATTACAGGCTTGAGCCACCGCGCCCAGCCGGCCAGGCTTGTCTTGAACTCCTCACCTCAAGTAATCTGCCTGCCTCCACCTCCCAAAGTGCTGGGAATACAGGCATGAGCCACTGTGCCTGGCCCCATTATTAACTTATTATTAATTTGCCCAGACTTGAGGTTCCCTCCTCCACACATTTTTTTCTTCACAGCAGCCCTATCCTTCAGATGCTTTGTTGCTGTTTCTTTTCCATAGATAGAGAAACTTCACTGTAGAGAGCTCAAGAAACTGCCCAAACACAACTAGTAAGTGACTTACTTAGCTGAGTTTCAAACGCATGTCGCTCTAACTCTAAAGTGTTTTCTTTTCCTACCATATGCCCTACTGTATTTCTACGAAAATGCCACTCTAGGAAAGTGAAACAATGTGCTAAATGGAGGTGTTTTGCATTGTCACTCTGTCCTCGGCAGAAATTGGCCAGCAAGTTTACAGGTTTGTCAAGGGTCTCTGGGAACGTGGATAGGACCAGGGCATCAAGTCATCCTGCTGCTGGCCTGGCAAGAGGACCAGGCCCAGGTTGTCTAGAAGCTGTGCCAACTTAAGTCAAGTTAAAAAGAGGGGGCCAGGGTTCCACTCTGTGTTATGCCATTTGGGATTAGAAATTTCCTTATTAAGAGCTCATTCCTGCCAATTTGATTCTAGGAGTTGTTCTGTGATAAAGGCTCCAGGGGCCCATTAATGAGCTGAAATCAATATTGAGCTTTTACAGCTTGGGCGAGAGATGTCTGCTGTAAGTGGAATCAAAACCTGACAGGAGATCATTAAATGTTACAGATATTCTTAAACTGTTCCTAACCATTTCATCAGTTGAGTGATCGTGACAACAGCAATAGTCCCTGATACGATGGTTGCACTTCCAGCCTGTCTCTCTTCTCAGACATTCTATTTGATTGTGAATTCCAAACTGCCATTTACTGGGCAGAAGCTGGCACAGAGACCCCGGGAGGTACCCAGCAGGCAGATGGTTTTACAGTCTGGGGAAGTGGAGGGTGGTTGGTGGTGGTGGGGGGGACTATCCTTTTTGCGTACTGGAGAGGCTGTGCTCTGAACCTGGTCCATGAGCTAAGATCAGTCAGTCACTTTGCGAGGAGGCCAGAACATCACCCAGAAAAGGACACAAATAATTCTGGAGGGAAAAGAGCATCTTGCTAGGAGCCTCCTCTTCTGAAGGTGATTAGTAAAAACTGCTGCAATGCAGAGGGTTATTTAATTCCGGGCAGAGAAAATGGGGGAATTCCCATGACTAGAATTGGGAAATCTATAGCTCACTCAGGCAGCAGTAAGCACACAGGCCTCTCTAGCACCTCTGCTTAAAGCCACAGAGTGAGCAAGTCTGGGTGCCCTACTGGTACACGTGGCTAGGACGAGGCACCTTGCCTAAGCCCACCGTACTGCAACAGCAGCAAAAAACAACAATTCTCCCTGAAAACAATTTCTGCATTCTGGTTTTTTGTGGGGGGGGGGGGGTTGTTGTTGTTGTTGCTGTTGTTGTTGTTTTCGAGACAGAGTCTTGCTGTGTCACCCAGGCTGGAGTGCAGTGGCGCCATCTCGGCTCACTGCAACCTCTGCCTCTTGGGTTCAAGCAATTCTCCTGCCTCAGGCTCTTGAGTAGCTGGGATTACAGGCATGCACCACCATGCCTGGCTAATTTTTGTAACTTTAGTAGAGATGGGGTTTCACCATATTGGCCAGGCTAGTCTCCAACTCCTGATCTTGAGTGTTCCACCCTCCTCAGCCTCCCAAAGTGCTGGGATTACAGGCGTGAGCCACTGCGACCGGCCAACATCTGCTCAATTTCTGCATTCTTTATTGGCTTCTGTTTGGAATGCAGGCTTTAAATTCACTGAGCTTTTTTTTTTAATTTCAAGCCTTTTTTTGGTCAAAATCAAGAATTCTGTAGTCAGCCCTCTGGTCTCTACAGGGGTAGCTGGTTTAATTTTGTGGTATTTGGTAAATGAGCCCTGGGGTATGAGGCCTTCCCCAGAATCCCAGAGCTGAGTGTCCTGGGGCGGGGGACCATAACCGACCCCATCCTGGCTCCACTTTGACTTCCTTATGTTGTTTCCAGTCAGCCCAGGGCCCACATGGTAAAGAGCAGATGTCACCCTGCTCCCATCTGCTTGGTCTGATTCTCTTTCTAATCACTCACTTCTCCTTTGAGTAGAGTGAGGGCTGGGATGAGGGTGAGAGGAAAGATTTGGTTTGGGTTTGGGGGAACGTGAGGGTTAGGGTTAGGTTGAGGGTTAGAGTTGGGCTTACGGTACATGTTTTCCTCTTCCCAATCCTAAAGAGTGAAGCTTTCTGTCTCCTCTCTGTCTTTCCATTGCTCAGTTCCTTTTTCTCTGCCTGTTTGCCATTCCGTTTCTCCTCGCTCTGTCTCTTCCTTTAACAACCATGCGCACATGTATCCCCTGCCCCGGTGTGTGTTGTCCTGGGCTGTCCTTGGCCCCTTCCAGACATGCCACCAGCTGCTGGCCTTCTCTGTAGGAGGCAACCGCTTCATGTCCCCAGACGTGGCTGGAAGTCTTCAGGACAAAGCTGGGCAGTCCTTAGCCAGGAGGGTGTCCTGCTTGGCTCCTGCACTGATGTAAGCCTGGAGGAAGGACAGCCTGAGGGCCGGCTGCTGAGTCTCCTCGAGGCCCCTGGACTACTCCCACCAGCACAGTGGGTATTCTCCAAGCTCACTGTGGCTCAGTGTCAGGGCTGGGTACTGGGCACCATCTGAGGCTCCCTGATCCACACCAGCATCTCTCTGTAGGGCACCATCATCTTACCCTTATGTAGAGGCTCTGTGCTCTACGACCCTGAGTGCTGGGAGACCCCTCCACAGTTCAACCCTGGCCACTTCTTGGACAAGGATGGAAACTTTGTGGCCAATGAGGCCTTCCTGCCATTCTCTGCAGGTACTAGGCACAGAGCTGGATCCTGGGTAGTGGGTGGGGCTTTGGTGGGACAGACACAGAGACAGCTGCCACCTCTGACTTTTCTCTCTGTTTCCAGGGCATTGTGTGTGCCCAGGGGACCAGCTGGCTCGAATGGAGCTCTTCCTGATGTTTGCCACCCTCCTTAGGACCTTTCGGTTCCAACTGCCAGAAGGGAGCCCGGGGCTCAAGCTGGAGTACATCTTTGGGGGCACTTTGCAACCCCAGCCCCAGGAGATCTGTGCAGCGCCCCGCCTGAACAGCCCCAGCCCTGGTCCTAGGGAGGATGGCCTGTAGCCACGGGGGTTCTGGAGGCCTGTCCCCCATGAAGTCCTTCCTCAGTCTCTTGGTTTCTCAAAGTTAGAGAAGAGGAGGACCAGGGGTTCATGCTGCTCAGCTGCTCACGGTTACCCCTAACACAAGCTCTGTGGGGTGACACTGGAGAGTAGACTTAGCAAGGATTCTACAGAGGTAGCGCAGTTTGGGTAGTTCAGTCCTTAGATTAGGTTAGTTATGCTTTGGCAGGGAAAGATTTTATAAGATTGGTTAAGTTTGGCATTAAATCAGTCCACAAAGTTAATTTTGGGAAATCAAGCCCCACAAGGCAGCAGCTAACTAGGTTCAGAGGAAAAGGCAAACTTTCGAGCAAAATTATAAATATAATAATGCACGCAAATGCAAATACTTGATGCTGGGGACAGGTAAGCCAAAAAAAAAAAAGTGAAGCGGGGGCAGCTTATTTTCTGCCCTCTCCTGCCCTCTGCTGACCAGAAGGAAGAACTGCAGTTCTCTGCAGACCTATGGCAGAGAAAGATCTCACCATCTCAATCCAGCAAAGCCAGCAGACCATATAACTGTTCCCAGTAAATTCTTCACCAAAGACCCACTTTAGTTTCCACACAAGGGTCCCTAAATTTTGAATCATTGTGTCTCCAGACAAGCTTTGTTTATTAAAAAAAGAATAACATGTGGCTGGGCATAGTGGCTCACGCCTGTAATCCCAGCACTTTGGGAGGCCGAGGCAGGTGGATCACTTGAGGTCAGGGGTTCAAGACCAGCCTGGCAAACATGGGGAAACCCCATCTCTACTAAAAATACAAAAATTAGCTGGGCATGGTGGTGGGCGCCTGTAATCCCAGCTACTCGGGAGGCTGAGGCAGGAGAATCGCTTGAACCCAGAAGGTGGAGGTTGCAGTGAGCCAAGATCGCACCATTGCACTCCAGCCTGGGTGCCAAGAGTGAAATTCTGTCTCAAAAAAAAAAAAAAAGACTTGTGAGTTCCAGGAGGCAGAGGTTGCAGTGAGCAGAGATCGCACCACTACACTCCAGCCTTAGGGACAGAGTGAGACTTTGTCTCAAGAAAAAAAAAAAAAAAGACTGACTTGCATTAAGGAAATGCAAACTAAAATAAAATGAAATACCATTACATACCTATTAGAATTGCTAAAAAGGAAACCCTGACAATCCCAAGTACTGGAAAAGATGTGAAGCAAATGGAATTCTTGTACCCTGCAGATGGAAATGTAAAATGGTACAACTACATTGGAAAACAGTTTGGCAATTTCTTGTAAAATTAAACATTACACCACACAACCCAGCAGTTCCACTCCTAGGTATTACCCAAAAGAAATGAAAATATATGTCCACACAAATGCATATTATATGATTCAATTTCTGTGATATTCTTTAAAAGGCAAACCTATAGGGACAGAAAATATTTGGTAGATAAGTGGCTGCCAGGATTCGGGAGCAGAGTTACAGTTTGACTGTAAAAAGACATGAGGGAACTTTCTGGGGTAATAGAAATGTTCTGTATCTTGATTGTGGTGATGGTTACACAACTGTATGTGTTTGTCAAAACTCATACATACAACTGTACTGTACAGTACATACAACTGTACACTTAAAAGAGTGTTATTGTATATAAACCATGCCTCAACAAATCTAAGCTTTAAAAAGGAAATGCCTCGGGCTGGACACGGTGGCTCATACCAGTAATCCTAGCACTTTGAGAGGCCAAGGCGGGCAGATCACCTGAGGTCAGGAGTTCAAGACTAGCCTGGCAAACACGGTGAAGCCCTGTCTACTAAAAATACAAAAAAGTTAGCCAGGTGTGGTGGCGCGTGCCTGTAATCCCACTTACTCAGGAGGCTGAGGCAGGAGGATTGCTTGAACCTGGGAGGCGGAGGTTGTAATGAGCAGAGATTGTGCCACTGCACTCCAGCCTGGGAGACAGAGCGAGACTCCATCTCAAAAAAAAAAAAAAAAAAAGGAATTGCCTTACTGCTCTCTTTCGTGTTATTTAAAGGATGTACATATGAATGAACCAGTGTTTCTAATTAGTAGGAGATCAATCATTACTGCTACACCACGCTGAAAGGAGTCTAGCCAGAAACAAGAAAACATGATGCATTGGCCAGGCTCAATGGCTTGCACTTGTAATCCCAGCACTTTGGGAGGCTGAGGTGAGTGGATCACTTGAGGCCAGGAGTTCAAGACCAGCCTGGGCAACATGGTTAAACCCCATCTCTACTAAAAATACAAAAATTAGCCAGGTGTGGTGGTGCACACCATAGTCCCAGCTACTTGGGTGCCTGAGGCAGGAGAATCACTTGAACCCAGGAGGCGGAGGTTGCAGTGAGCAGAGATCGCGCCACTGCACTCCAGCCTGGCTGACAGAGTGAGACCTTGTCTCAAAAAAACAAAACAAAACAAAAAACAGAAACCATGATGTATGAATTAGCCTCTGGCCTTTCTTCAGATGTTCCTCTAGGCTTTGTGACATCCTGGAGCTTTCTCACAGATACCCTATTTTCTGTGTGGTGCCACATCCAGGACCTTGGGAGTCCAGACTGGGAAGCACCAGGCAAGTGGGGTCCCAGACAACAGGAGACAGCTTGGGGTTCTCAGGCCTGGGAGGTCCCACCCTCAGCTGGCAGCTGTCTGTGATCCAGGCAGGCTCTGAGGTGGAGAAAACAAAGTCGGGCTCTAATTCACCTGCTTCCTGCCTCACTTTCCTAACCCTCTCTCTGTTAGAGCCCCTGTCTGGAGCTTGCAGCCCCTTCTAACACCCACCCCCTCCACCATCCAGCCTCCCATCTTTGATCCTGTCCAGCCCTCTGCATGCTATTCCATTCAAAGGCCAACTCCTCCAGGAAGCTTTCCCTCACTTGGGCTTTGGCCTGGGTTGAAATCCCAGTTGTGCTCTCAATAACCCAGTCCTTGTGTGCTTCGGTTTCCTCATATGACAAATGGAGGCTTCCTTTAGGATTGTTGGGAGTGACAATGGCCAGCACAGGGCCTGGCGGGTGATGAATGATCTGTTTATGTTGGCAGGGCTCTCCTTCCCCTAGACAGCATCCAAAAGCACTGGCACCTTTGTTCTTAGCTCTAAGACGATGACGCTGCAGGGAGCCCTGCCCCCGTGGATAGGCTTCCCTTTCAGCTTCCATATCCTCATGAGGATATGACCATAGCTGCCATGTGTGGATTGCCAACCGTGTGCCAGGAAGTGCACTGGGCACCTAACATAGATGAAGTCATTTAAATACCAAAGTGACAAGATAGATATAATTATCTGAATTAATTAATTTTTTTTTTTTTTTTTTTGAGACAGAGTCTTGTTCTGTCGCCCAGGCTAGAGTGCAGTGGCGCGATCTCAGCTCACTGCAAGCTCCACCTCCCGGGTTCACGCCATTCTCCTGCCTCAGCCTCCCCAGTAGCTGGGACTACAGGTGCGCGTGCCACCATGCCTGTCTAATTTCTTTTTGTATTTTTAGTAGAGACGGGGTTTCACTGTGTTAGCCAGGACGGTCTCGATCTCCTGACCTCGTGATCCACCTGCCTTGGCCTCCCAAAGTGCTGGGATTACAGACGTGAGCCACTGTGCCTGGCCAAATTAATTAATTAATTTTTGAGATGGAGTCTCACTCTGTCACCCAGGCTGGAGTTCAGTGATCTTGGCTCACTGCAACCCCCACCTCCTGGGTTCAAGCAATTCTCCTGCCTCAGCCTCCTAGGTAGCTGGGATTATAGGTGCGCACCACCCCTGGTTAATTTTTGTATTTTTAGTACAGACAGGGTTTTACCACGTTGGCCAGGCTGGTTTTGAACTCCTGACCTCAGGTGATCTGCCACCTTGGCCTCCCAAAGTGCTGGGATCACAGGTGTGAGCCACTGGGCCAGCCTGAATTGATAGGAATGAAAATCAGGAGCTCACCAGTGAATTAGTTAGAAAGTGTCAAAATATCAGTAAGCCTCAGTTCCCTCATCTGCAAAGTGGAGATAATAATGCTAACTCATTTGATTGATATTAACATTAAATATAATAATGCGGCCAGGAGCAGTGGCTCATAACTGTAATCCTAGCACTTTGGGAGGCCGAGGTGAGTGGATCACCTGAGGTCCGGAGTTCAAGACCAGCCTGACCAATATGGTGAAACCCTGTCTCTACTAAAAATACAAAAATTAGGCCGGGCGCAGTGGCTCACACCTGTAATCCCAACGTTTTGGGAGGCCGAGGTGGGCGGATCACGAGGTCAAGAGATCGAGACCATCCTGGCCAACATGGTGAAACCCCGTCTCTACTAAAAATACAAAAATTAGCTAGGTGTGGTTGCTTGTGCCTGTAATCCCAGATACTCAGAAGGCTGAGGCAGGAGAAGCGCTTGAACCTGAGAGGCAGAGGTTGCAGTGAGCCGAGATCATGCCACTGAACTCCAGCCTAGCGACACAGTGAAACTCTGTCTTAAAAAAAAAAAAAACAAAAAAAAAACCCAAAAATTAGCCAGGCGTGGTAGCGGGCGCCCGTAACCCCAGCTACTGGGGAGGCTGAGGCAGGAGAATCACTTGAACCTGGGAGACAGAGGTTGCAGTGAGCAGAGATCGCACCACTGCGCTCCAGCCTGGAGGAGAGAGCATCTTAAAAAAAAAAAAAAAAAAAAAAAAAAAAGGTCAGCCTCCAGCAGCCTGGAACAGCATGTGAGAGTGAGCTGGAGGGGCAAACAGAGGATATTCAGCACACCCCAGCCTCGGGCCCCTTGGGTTCCGGAGGTGAGCATCCTCCTCATGCCCTCATAATTCTTCCAGGTTACTTGCCCAAAGACCACCTTGAGCACATATGTCTCCTCTGCTGAAACTGTCTCCTTTATCTCCAGCGCCTCTTCAGCACTATTCATCACCTTCTAGTCATCCTCTTCTTCACTGAAATGTTAGGATTTCATTCCAAGTCCTGCCATCATCCTGAAGACCCCAAGTTCATGTGAGCAACGCAGTCGACATCCAGGACCTCTCCGTTTCTGGGCTCCCTCATCTTTAGTGATTTTCAGCTCATTCCTCTTCTGCCATCAGCCCTATGGCCATACCCAAGTTCTTGTCAGCCCCTAAGAGAAGCTCTCACCCTCTGAAATGGTCAATTCACAGATCCCTATAGAGAACCGTGAAGGGTCTAATATTTTACCCTACTTGAAAACTAACAAGTTAACCTGGTCTAGTTTTATGGGTGCTGGCACAAGACTCCTGGGTCAGAAATGAAGGACAATTTATTACCCACAGCAATAGCATTAGCCAGACTGACTATTAGAATTTTTGTGCTGGTTCCTTGAGTCCCAATTCCCATGGAGCAACATGAAGAGGGCTGGACTGTACCTGCACACTCAGTGGGTTGCATTATAGGAGAGGAATGCTGAACTGAAGTAGAATCTTTTATTTATTTATTTTGAGACAGAGTCTTGCTCTGTTGCCTAGGCTGGAGTATAATGGCGTGATCTCAGCTCACTGCAGACTTCGCCTCCATGGTTCCAGCGATTCTCCTGCCTCGACCTCCCGGGTACCTGGGATTACAGGCATGCACCACCACACCCAGCTAAATTTTGTATTTTTAGCAGAGACAGGGTTTTACCATGTTGGCCAGGCTGGTCTCGAACTCCTGACCTCAGGTGATCCACCCACCTCAATCTCCCAAAGT